ATGAGATGTAGAAAACAGGAGTCTTTTTTTCTGGTTCTTTTGTGAAATCAGCGGTTTCTTAGCAGGGTGTCGAGAAAACAATTCGGTTTCAACAGCACGTCGTCTGATTGTTCGGTCCAATACAGGCAGCTCTAATTGCTTTTGTATCTCGACTGATGATATCCAGGGATCCTTCTTGACGGATCTGACGACCATAGATCATCTCTAGAAGTAGTGGAACGCGGTCTTCCACCTTTGTTATCTGCTGCCAACTTCCCCGTAGAACGATATTTGGAACATAGTCTTGATACGGTCCATTTTTTCACATGATATTTATCACAAGTACTTTTTTGTGACATTCCACTTACGTAATTGCCAATAATTTTCTTTCTTAGTTCCATTCCAAGACTGTCGGGAGCCATTTTTGCACTTGAAGTCATAAAAATAATAAAAATAAATAATCATGCTTCTCAAGGCTTACCGTGGTACATTTACCTTGTGATGATACAATAATGCTCTGTGGAACTCAAAGTCTTGGTTGGATGTGGACTGTAATGATATAATGAAACACTTGTTGTATTTCACTTCGTGTATTGATGTTCTTTGATAAAACACTTTGATAAAACTCACTTCAATAAACTGTCTTGATAATACTGACTGATTGACTTCCATATACTGACTGAATTACATGTCGGTTTACATGTCTCTTATATAGTAAAATGAACCTGTGTGAACCTGTTCTGGATGATTCTAGATGCTTCATTTCGATGCTTCTGAAAGCTTCTGGATGCTTCTGGATACTTCCAGGTGCTTTTTATGGAAACTTCTGGAAACTTCTGGATACTTCCTTTAATTATTAAAAAACTTTCGTGATGTTGACACGGACCAGATTTAAGAAAATGAAACAAACCAAAAAAGTTGCACTTGTTTTGTCCGCTGCAAAATGGCACTTGTCAACGAAATTCTGACTGTGTGCTGTTATCTATCAGCTGATTGCTCATGTCATGGCATGCTATGACCCCAGTCTCCTGAACTGTTTGCTGTGGTAGTATAGTTCGTTTTGTTTTTAAAACATGTAAATTTAGGAGCACTTTTTAGCATGTCCAATACTGTATATATTGATTTAATGTTATTGTTGTTTTAATTTTTAGTAATATTTACACTATTGATATACTATTATTATTACTATTAATATATTTCTGAATGTCTATATTGATATTTTGTATTAGATATTTGCTTTAAATTAGTACTTGTAATATTGTAAACATCCTTGAAATGTTAAACAACTTATTTCAGAATATATTTGATTTGATTTGATCTACAAGCAAAAAGGCTGTATTTAAGTAGAAATTTTGCATGAAGTTTCACTCTACAAGCAAAAAGGCTGTATTGTTATTTTTTAACAGCTTGTAACTTTTGAACAAGTTGGTTTTCAACTTTAAGATAGCAAGTATGCTATGGATACTTTTAAAAGGAACTGAAAAGTAAAAATCTGGGATCTTAGCCATAATGGCTAGCTAATATTGGTGTTTTTGTTTTGGAATTGAAGTTTTTTTGTCATTCTAAAGAGCTTAATTAAATGGTGGATAAATACTAAAAAAAAAATCAAAAGTTATAGGTCATCAAAATGAGCCATCAAAATTTTTTCTTAATCGATCCCCAATGCAAAGCATCTGTTACCTAAGATGGCACTTTTTTCTTGAAATTTATTATACACATCAAATAATTAATAAAACCAATATTGTTAATAAAAATTATTAAAAACCAATGTGTTAATAAAGACCACAAAAATTAATAGGGAACTTATTTATAATTCCTAAAGATATTCTTTAAAAATCAAGTATACAATAAAAACAAATTTAATTATTTATTTGTCTTTTTAAAACTTTGTTGTTAACACGATAAAAAGTTAAATAGTGTTATTTGTTATATAATGTGGACAGAAGCAATTCTACAAATAAATTGAGGGTGAGGGGGTGAATCCTTAACAAGGACCGACTGGCTTCAAAAAAAAAAAAAAAAAAAATTTAAATTTACCCAACTTCATAAAAAAATGACAATAACTTGAAAATCACCTTCTTTGAGAGGTAATACCCCTCCCCCTGTAAAATCGCCTCTGAATGTGGGTGGTGGGTAAATCTTTTTTAAAAAACTAGTTGATTAAAGAACGGCATTAAAAACTTATAGGTCATCAAAATAAGCCAGATCAAGATATTTTAAAATTGATCCCTGATGTAAAGCATCTTTTACCTATAATGGTACTTTTTGTTTTTCTAAAAATTTTTTATATGCATCAATGGAAGAGTTTTAGTTAATAAAAAAAACAAAGTAATTGATGGGGACTTATTTATAAACCCAAAAGATTTGCATAAAAAACAAATTTAAACTATTTCTTTGTCTTTCTGAAGTTAACAAAATAAATAACTGAATTAAAGGATGCTATTTGTTAAAAAGTGGTAGTTAAAAAATAGCAATGTTAATAACCTTATAACCCCAATAGATAAAACTCTCACTTAATAACAATTTTTTTTAAAAATGAAAATCAAACTGTTGTTTAATTTTATTTTAAAAAAAAATTGTCTTGCCATTTTTAAATCAAAGTTATGAAAAAATTTACAAATGTTTTAAATTCAAAACGTATAACACTAAATATTTTAAGATTTTGGTTTATATATAATTTGAAATAACAGTTTACATTTTTTTTATTAGCTATAAGTTGATATTATTTTTGTAGTTTTTATATTTTGATGAAGCTCCCCACTAAAATAGATAATGTGTACTTAACTGTTTAAGTTTATCAATAACATTATAGATAAAGCAATGAACATCGTCTGCTTTATGTTTCAGATGATGTGAAATAACGCAGTAACTTTCACTATTAAGTTTTTTGTCTTTTAGAAAATAAACAACAAAAAAATAAAAAAGAAGTGCAAAGTTGCTTGGCTATTATTCCAGTGAAAACCTTGCACTGTATCTTGTATTAGAAAACTATAGTTTTCTTCAAAGTCAGAACAACTAAAGCTTGTTTTTCTTTTAAATTAGTTTTTAAATGTAGAAAGTAGGGGGTTTGACTTTTTGATATAAAATAATGCTGTCACAAATTATCTAACTGTTCGTAAACCATTTCAATAAATTCATCTAAAGGCAAAGTTGTTGGTGCTAAAGTTGGAAATATTGGAAATTCAAATATTATTATAAAACTAACATTGGAAATTTGATTTTTACTATTGATAAAAACTAACTTCACTAATTTCATTTTCGTTTAAAAAAGTGCCAATATAATTAGGCAATATGCTACAGACTATTTATAATCAGTAACTCCAGGAATTTTCTGTTCAGGAATTTTCTGTTCACAAAATTTTGAAAATCTAATTTTAATATAACTATTACTTTTAAACCTAATATGAAGTTCTTTCATAATTACTAATAGAAATCCTTTTTTGATATGTATCTTTAGATCATCTAATTAAATTGACACAAACTCTTTCATTCCTTGAAAAACCCTTGAATATTTATCGTATTTATAGAATTGAATGTCTTTAATTACATATTTGTTAAGTTTTTTACCCGATTTCGGAGAAAGTTTTGATAATATTTTTTTTGTTTTTCTCATTTTCTGGCTTGTTTTACAGATTTTTTTTTAAACAAGTTTGAGAGGTTTGAGAGGATCCAAAACTTGCAATACTTAAATTAAGATCTTTTTTTAATGTTAGGTTGTCAAAATAAATTTCTTTTTCTTTGGGTTTATTTCCTTTTGAATCATGATGCTTACAATGCAGTGTTTTTCTGCAACAAGTGCAGATTTTTTGACCAGGTATTAAACCAAAATTTTTGGCATATGAAAGAATACTTAACTTTAGGAGAATCTATAAAGTACAAAATAATTATTAAATATTGTTTAACATTTATTTATTACCAAAAGTATTTCCTTTAAATAAATGCCTATAATTTTAAAATATATAATAAAAAAAATTTTCATAAAAAAAAAGTGACATCTAAGGTAAAATATGCTATGCATTAGAGATCAATTTTAAAAAAACTATGATCCGATTTTAATGCAGCTCTTTAACCAATTGATTAAAGCTGATCAACTGCTCACCATTATGGAAAAAGCTAAGATGCCAGATTTTAAATTTTTTGTTCTTCTAAAAGTCACCGCATACTTAAAATAGTTGAAGTATAACACCTTGTTCAAAAGTTAAAATAAAAAAAATCTTTTGGCTTATAGTGTGAAACTTTATGTAAAATAGTCCACTACTTAAATAGTGTTTTCTCAAGAACCATACTAGATATTGCCTTGAAATTTTCAAAACATGTTTTTTTCATATTACAATTTTCATCTTCTAATTTTCATCTTACATTTCTTCATTACAACTTTCAAGTTCTCAATTTTGAAAATGTGTTGATGAGAGAAAGAACCTTTATTTATGTAAAGTTGAGAGAAAGAACTTCTATTTATTAAAGTCTGAAAAAACTTAAAAACATTAGAGTTACACATCTAATCAATGTTTTTAATAATAATTCTAATCTCTTGTTGTAATTTCAATAGGTAATGTAATTTTGTAAAGTCCAATTTGCTGTTTAATAATTTGCAATGCATCATGTTTGAATAACTTTCAGAGTGCTTTAAATATCATATCCATTATTTTTCTCAGAACACAATTTTATTTTTCCCATTGGTTATCCACATATATTATCCACTATTATATATTATCCACAGAAATATAACACAGAAATATAACGCATAAATAAAAAGTAAAGACGTTCTCTATATATTTCCCTGCTAACATTAATTAAGCTGTTTTTAACTATGCTTCAAAAATACTATGCATACAAAAATCACCAATTAGATTCTACATCACCAAATAAAGTAAGGTCAACATGACCTCATGTATACATGTATTTAAATTTTGTTAAAAAACTTATTTAAATAAAGCATTACTAAGAAAATTTTCCACTTGAGAGAAAAACACTTACGTATCTTTGAATTATCTTAAAGATATTTTCAAGTTAAAACTTACACAAAAATCTTCTATGGATCTTGTTGCTTAGCAACATCAACTAGATAACAGTAGCAAATCCATTTTCTAAATAAAAGTGGAAATAAACAATAGAATAAAATAACAAGGGTGTTATTTTTTGTTTTGTTTATGAGATCAAATTTGAAATTTGTAGACCACTCTGTGAATTTTATATGCCAAAGTTTTTAAACTAAAAAACTAGCACAGGTTTCTTCCAGAGACAAACATCTTCTTCCGCGGTGACAATAATCGTGATTTGGAAAATAGTTGTGCTTGATGACCATAACACTAACCCTTACTACCTAGGCCTAATATTATTTAAAAACTTTGGCATGTAAAAATTGCCAAGTGGTCACACATGAGCAGTGAATGCCTGAGGGAAGTAATGAAGTACATTAGAATAAAGGAGAATTATTTTTTGAACAAAGCTTATTTTGACAGTTGTCAAGACAAAAATAAAAATTAATAGAAGAGTGTTTAAAAATAAATAAGACAGACAATGCACCTAAACAGTACTTACAATAATAATAAAATTAAAAAAATATTTTAATAAACACTAATATGAAAAAATCATTTTAATAAACATTAAAAGAATATAAAATTAGTTCAGAATTGTAAATGAAAAAAAATTTAGTTCAGTGACCACTTGGAATGAAAATTTCCTTTAAAATTTAATTTGGAAATATTTCCAAAAAATTTTATAATTAATGGGTAAATTATGTGTTATTTAGGCAGTTGTTATGGACAATTTAATGGTAAAATATTGTGAAGTAGATTATAAAATTTTTGAAAGCTCTCTTTGAAAAACATTTTTTTTGGTATTTTGTTGAGTATTTTTGGTATTTTGTTGAGTTTATTGTAACTATAAGTAGCAACTATGTTTTCAAAATTTTCTACAATTGTCTTATCTTGTTTTTTGCTTAGCATATTGACGTTCAGCGCTGTAGCAAGCTTTGATTAAATAACTACTTTTATTTGTGATTATAACCCTCTCTCAACTCTATAACTCCGAAACATGAACTTTGACAAACAAAGCTGCTGTGCAGAGAAACAAGTTGAGCCCAGTACTACCAGAGATGTGGTGGGGATTAAACTTGGAACCTCTCCCTTATGAAGCAAGCGCTCAACCATTACACCACTACCGCATTGAATACTTGATTGAATAAAAGATTTGATTGAATATTAACAGTGTTTTACAATTTTTTCTTGATTTAACGATGTTATTGATTAATGGAAGGCAAAAAATAAAGAAACATTTTTGATAAATTTATAGAAATATATTAAAAAAAAAATTAAAAAAATAAAAACAAGGTTCAATTTCAAGGTCAAAAATTCATTTTCAAGGTCATAAATTCTGCCGCTATCCGCCATTTTATTTTTAACTGTTTTATTGTTATTTCACTGAATATTCAGATTAAATGCGTTTTCTAATGTCATTTTTAGATAAATTATTATAACCTAACACAACTAGTGCATGTATCTTTTATAAATTTTTTTTAAATATTTAAAGATAAAATCAATGAATCACACTTATCATGAATCATGAATTAAATGAAATCACACAGAAATATTTGTTTCTTTAAAACACTCTACAAAAATAATACACAATAAAATTTTTTAATCTAAAAAAGATTTTATTCTGATTTTCTGATAAAGATTTGTGAATATTTTACATTGTAGTTGGAAAAAGTAAAAACTAGAAATATGTTGTACAAAAGCTCAGAAGACAGGATAACATGGAAAACATCTATTTTTCGTTGTTCCACAAAAGTAGTATATGCAACAGTAATATAAAACAACTTGAGCATTTTTTACTTTTTTAACAAATTTGTGATTCAGGATTTAAATTAACAAACTTTATTATAAAATATTTGACTAAAAAATTTGTATTATTTTCGCTTATTGGTAGGGTTTAAAATCTTCCGAAACTTTCCTAGAAAATTTGCTCAAATTTTTTAGAAATTTTCAAATATTTTTAGTTACAATAAACTTATAATACTTCTATAAAACTCATTTCTTTGTTTCAAAGATATACAACATTACAATATGAAATAAAAATATTTTACCATTATTGTATTTGGGTAGTCTTTAAATATTTCAACTGAAAATATAAAATAATCAAGACCCACAAGCAAAAAATACACATTTTTAAATCAATTATTTAGTGTACCCCTTGATCAATAAAATATGATCAAACATATTTTTTTTTCTGTATGGTGACTTTTGATTGAAGTTCTCAGTTTAAAACACAAAAAAAAAAAAAATCTAAAAGTGAAAATACACATGAAAATATACACAAAACATATTTTATGTAAACAGTAAATGAAAATATATTTTGACAAATTAATCAATTATAAAAAATATACTTTGATAAAAAAACCAATCTGACAAATATTAATAAAGAAATTATGAAGACAAAATTAGAAACCTTCTAAAATATCTAAAAATCTAAAACGCATTAATATCAACTTTTGAAATATGTAAATATGTTTAAAAAAAAAGACAACCTAAAATTACTTTTTCTACAAAACAGAATTTAACTAAAATAGAAAACATTTGTTTAGAAGTATTAATTCTCTAAAAAAAATTACTCATAACATACCTGAAACATCATCCTCAAGGACATCGATGCCAGATATTTGTTTCCTGATCTTTATTTTATATAACTTTTCAGCTTCTTTAGCAAGATGCCGCTGTCTCCTGATTTTAAGACACAATGAAGTAGGTTTGTCTGGTATAAACCAAGCCAAAAGACGTGATGTACCTGATACTACAGACTGAAATATAAAGACAAATGCAAATCGAACTGCCCATATCTCCCAATAGATTTTATTAAAACCATAAGGTGATACAGACTCATGAAAACCAGCAAATCTAAACAATATGAAGTGTAAATGAACATAATGAGTAAATGTTTATATAATACAGTAATTTTGTAACATATCTAAAGCATACAAAATCACAAGCAGTCAACAGTCAATAAACACTAAATCAATGACCAATATTCTATTTCGAGCTTCTAAAATGAATTCTTGCAGGTCAAGAGTCTGAGTTTTGTAAAATAAAACTTTACAAATAACCAAGATGTACTTCAAAAAAAAAAAAAAAAAAAAGCTAAAATTTCATATCATTGTTTAAATCATTAAATTATTTTTACTATTTCCAATGTGCTCCAATAACAAGCCTCATTGTTGCGTATTGACGCGTACAAACTATACATGTATTTTTTTACTTTATTATTTAGCTTTCATTGATGATAAAATCCGAAGGTATCTTTTTTCATACATCATTTAAATTCATATTTTATTAATATTTTCCAATGTTATTTTTAACTAAAAACATTTTTTTCTTCCAACTGTTTCAGTTTTTTTGCCTTTAAATACGCCTTTCAAAAAAGCAACATTAGCTTTTAGTTTGTCATACAATCTTCTAAGATTGTTAACTAAAAACACAGAATTACTTCATCATTTTATAAAGCAGCTGTAAATAGAGAAAGCAAATCAAGTGTGAATGTATTATTACTTCAGACAAAAATAGCATGGACAACTTCTTGTTTGGTGTGTTGCACATCCTTTTGAGTTTTGAGCTTTTAAAACCAAATTACCAAAACTTTCAGTATCTAATGATGTTGACAACTTTAAAAATATTTTATAAAAACATATAAACTCTAAAGTGCTACAACAATTAGGAGAGCTTGTTGCACCATTATTATCAGTATTGTTTTTTATAATGGTAGAATATTTGTTAATATATTTCATTGAAGTAGACATAAGGTGTCTATCTAAAACATCCGATGCAATATCTGGATTTGTTTTTTCAGAATTATTTTCATTAATTAGTTTCATTGTCTGAAACTTTTTTAAACTTTCAGTTATTGGAAATAAATCAAGTTTTTCTTGATCAGCAATATCACAAGCAAAAATTTACCATTTCCGTATATAGGCATTTTTTCGCAAAAAAAAAGACATTTATTGTAAAAAAAAAAAAAGTCCTTAATTTCTGAATTTGAAAATTTCTGAAATATCTCTCAAACATGTTCACCTCTATTGAGAAGGGTCTAGAATAGCTCCTGAAAGTTTTCTATGATTGTGCTTAATCCTCTTCAAGATATATAAAGCATTTATTTATAATCAGTTTAAATTTAGGTTTTGCAGCTTTTGTGTATTTATTGTCATAACAATTAAAGCAGCCAAGTCTTTTTTTTTTCTCTACTATTCAAAAGACTCTCCTTCACAGCACAAAAAACTATACTTTACTCGTTTTCCAGTTTTACAGTTGTATATTTTTCTCAAATTTCCTGCAATCCTTCAAAGCTCAATGAATTGAATAACTAACTGATCAACAACTCGTTAACTTAAAAAGCTTTTTACTTGAACCATTACTTTTACATTTTTTTTTTTTACTTAACTTTTATACTTTTTACTTTGTGTCTTTTCTTGTAAAAAAGAAAAAAAGAAAAAGAAAAATGAAAAGAGTAATCTTTTGCAAAACACACATCAAGAACAATAGCTAGGACAATTGCAACAAAAAACACATCAAGAACAATAGCTAGGACAATTGTCTCATCAAAAGTAATTGCTTAATATTAAATATTTTAATTTTTCATTGCTAACTATATAATGTAAATTTAGGACAAAAATATTTAAAATTTCCACCAATACAGAGTTTTTTCATGTTTTAACTTAGCAATAAAAATGAAAAAATTAAATATTACTGTTGATGAGACAATTGTAAAGTTGATATGTAAAGTTACTTTACATGAAATTTTAAGTGCAGAGGTTTTTTAAGGTTTTCTTAAAAACCATGATGGAAGAAAAAAAAATTTCTAAAAGTAAAAAATTCATAGTTCCTACTTATGGTAAACAATCAACTATTTTAGTTTAGAATGAAAAATATCACTGTGTTGGTCTTAATCAAGTGTCTTTTAAAATGACTTTGTAGCTTATAAATTGTTTAAAACTATCCCACTGTCTAACTAAAAAATATGTTCCTATATTGTGTGTATAAATGTGTTATATAAATATGTTATATAAATATGTCATATAAATATGTCATATAAATATGTTTTATATATTTAGAAATAGTCTTGAGCCTCAGACTATTCATCTTGAAACAATGAACAAACTTTATTTTTTAACTAAATTTTTCAAAGTATAAACACTCTCCACAAAGATGGTTTAAACAACTTTATAACATTTTAGGCACACGTTTTTTGTTTTTTTCTTGATTCAACTCAGAAGTAATAATACTATTGATAATTGAAGATATTGAGAATTGAATAAATGAAGTACTTCTGATAACTTGACAGTTTAAAAAAAAATACTTTTTTTATTGCAGAACAATCCACTTTAAGACAAAACAGGATTTCAATGACCTTGCAAATTAAAGAAGAAAATTTTAATTATAATTTGATAATTTAAGATCAAAAATAAATTTAATTAAACAACTAAAAAAATAATAGAAACAACTAAATTAAACAACTTAAGAAAAAATCACATGATAAAAAACAAAAACAAAAAAAAACATGATAAAACTTTAATATACTAGATAAAAACCCAAATATTTTGACTAACTAAACTTTTTCTTAATTAAAAGAAAAAAAATTTAAAGTTACAATTAATCAGGTGAAGTCTTAGTATTACCTAGTCTAGCTGACCCTCCACTTTTATGTTTTATTTTGCATGCTGTGACTGCACTATTTTGTGATAAGTTAGTAATAATTAAACTTTTTTAGCCATTGATTGGTTTGTGAAACTTATTCAAATACTTCATCCACACATAACAAAAAATATGTGAATATAAAATGATTTATAATAATTTTGTATATTAATATATATATATATATATATATATATATATATATATATATATATATATATATATATATATATATATATATATATATATATATATATATATATATATATAGCATAAGCTTAAGTAGCATATAATTTAAATCCTAAAAACCCAATCAATTTAAGATGGCAAATTTAAAATTCTAAATTCTAAACTAGCATACATGAATTTCAGTGTTTACTATTACAGTGTTTATTATTATAAATAATAAAAATTTATAATGCATCATTAAATAAAAGCTTTTTGTTTTCTCATTGGTCATTTTTAGCAAGCAAAATAATTTTAAAATAATTTCTTCATTTGATGCTATTTTTAGCAAGCAAAATATTTTTAAAATAATTCAATAAAGTTAGATCATATGCAAAATATTTTTGAAAATTACTTTTTTAAATTACAAGGACACTTTTTATTATTAAACTGTTTTTCATTTCAGTTTTTAGTGTTACATTAGATTTCTAACAAAAAATAGTAATATCTTAATTTTATCAGTCTAAAACACCAAAAAAACACCAAAAAAAACTTGTCAACATACTTGATTTATTTAATTTCATTAAATAAATCAAGTATGTTGATTAATCAAACTTAATGCTACAATGAATTTGTAAAATATTTCAATTTTTTGAATAATAATTTTTTTTAAAAAGTCTGTTATACTCAATCCCAGAGTTATCAACTAAAATTAACGAATCAAATATTTTAGTAAAACAATAGCTTACCTACATATTGGGTATTGAGGATTCTGTAAGGGCTTTTCGTGCTCTTTAAAATTACTGACATTATAAGAAGCCAAACTCCAATCCAAATATCCAATTAAGCTACTATTACTATATTTATATTTGTAAACAGTCCGTGGAATAAATTCCGAGGTCAAGGCAATCACACAGCCATTCACCATAACAGAAAACTTAAAATCAACAATAAATTTTCTTTTAAAAAACAATAAATAATTTAACATATTAGTTTAACATGTAAGTTTAGTTTATTTAAATTAAACATTTTTAATATTTATATTATCTATGTAACTTTTTTTTTATTTACATATCTTTATATTTTATTTTTTAATATTTATGTTAAATAATTTTTCTTGGAAGATATGGAATTTTGAACTATTAAAAATATAAAAAAAAAGTTTATAAATAAACCGTCATTCATCTTACCTATTCACCTAAAATAATTTCAATAAACAAAAAATAATTTAACTAATTTTAAGCCTATTTAATTATAAATAAAAAATATTATTTTATCATATACATATATACATGTGTGTGTGTGTGTGCGCGTGCGTGTGTCTATATTTTATATATATATATATATATATATATATATATATATATATATATATATATATATATATATATATATATATATATATATATATATATATATATATATATATATATATATATATATATATATATATATATATATATATATATATATATATATATATATATATATATATATATATATATATATATATATATATATATATATATATATATATATAGGGGAGAACTTGCACCCTTGATTTGTAAGCGTTATCTTTATACTTACATAACTGTGGGGCTGAACCAGCGTGGTATAAATATTGTATCTTCAAAATTAATTGTGTTTTGGTTAGATAATATAGTTTATTTCTAAAGAGTTTCATTTTGACAAAAACAGTAATTTTTTTTACTTTTACAAGGAACCTCACATCTTTAATATTTTTTAGAGCTGAATAATTTTGCTTACGTCATTTTGTAACTAAACTATTTACCTCTTGTATGGTTGCTTTTGGTAAGCTATAGAAGTATCTAATATGACAAAAAAAGAATTTTTGTAAAAATGGATCGGGTTAGCACCCTTGATCCTAATGTGTTTATGCACCTTTGATCCTATGATCAAAGGTGAATACACACAAAGGTGAATACACACAAAATGTTTAACCAATAAAGTAACATGTACAATATGTCATATTGATTTTTAAATATATTTTTTTCTTCCAAAATATAGCCTTAAAAAGAAGATTTTATATTATTTGTGTTTTTTTTTGTCTTCTTAATACTTTTATACAATATAATTGTATTCATTTACATATATATATATATATATATATATATATATATATATATATATATATATATATATATATATATATATATATATATATATATATATATATATATATATATATATATATATATATATATCTCCCAGACAGCAAGCTTACATTGGCCCAACGTAAGTTTTAACATTGGCAAGTTTATTCCGTTGGGCCAACATTTTGCCAATGTTTTTTTTCAGCGTATTATTTTCAATTGCTAAATGTTTTTTTGCAAATGTACTATAATGGGCCAACATTTAGTCAATGTTTTTTTTTCGGCGTAATATTCCAATTTTACTAATCTGTTTTTTGCAATTATCATACTACGTTGGGCCAACATTTGGCCAATTTAGTTTAAGCCTAATATTTTGGTATAAAAATCTGTTCTTACATTTATACCATAGCTAATATTTAGCCAATGTAGTTGCGGATTAGTATATACTTTTAAATTTGTTGCAAAACATTTTTAAAAATGGTGTCGCTTGACAGAATGAAAAAAAGTTTTGATATTATCTTTCCATTTTTTAAAATTATAAAAATAAAAAAAGAAGCTATATTTATTAATCTATTAAGAATCTTAAAAGGTTTCTTATAAGAAGTAAACTTCAAGAGATTCTCATGACTTAATGTTTTGTTTTTTTTAAATAATGAAATTATTAAATGAATATATGTTAACAAATGAATTATTTGTTAACATTTAAATAATATGCTTAAAACAATTTTTACTACTATCTAAATTATTAATGTAATAATAAAGGCAATAATGAAATTATTTTTGTGTAAGATTTTAAAGTTATTTTTTTATTTTTATTGCTGTATTGGCATTTCAAATGTTTGATTTATTTAATAATCTTTATAAAATAAATGAAACATTTCAAATGTTTGATTTATTTAATAAAGACGACATTTTAAATGTTTTCTTTATTAAATAAATCAAGCATTTTAAATGTCATTCAGTAAAAGTTTTTTTTTTTTCATAGTTTATTTATAATAGTTTAGATTATATAGCTATTATAAGATATATTATTAAAGATATCAATAATATATATGTGGTATTGATGTTGTTAGAAGCTGATATTTTACATTTTAAATATGTCTCTTTTGTTTGATTTTTTCTGTGTTTGATTGTGAAACCCCATCTACTAACATATTAAAACAGTATACAAAAAGTGATGTTACTAGAATTTATATTCTATTTATGTAGAGCTTTCTATTAATCCATCTTTCTGAGAAAGAGGGACATTTTTCTTGGTTTTATTATTTTTTAATTTACTATCTCTGGATATTTTTCATAACTAGTTTGCGTATGACAGTTAACAGCTTTAAGCTTATACATTAACTTTAGTTATAACTTAATTATTAATGATTTGATTTATAGATTTTTAAAGCAATACAAGATTAAATTTAGCAGAAGGCTAAACTTCTGCTCCGGACACAAAAAAGAAAGATAGCGAAAATGACCAGCCAAAATAAAGAATAAAGAGACAAAAAATTGTGTATATCTTGGTGTAGATGATTTATCCTCAATTTCTTATAATAAAACAAAAAATATTAAATTTTGGAATTTACCTGTAACTCCTAACTCTTTACAGAAGTTCAATGTTTGCTCTGAGAAGTTGAATGAACAAAATTTATTAAATGGTAAGTTTTTATATAAAAGTCTTTATGTCTGATGATTGAAAGTCTTTATTTATAGCTTTAACTTTTACAATTTTAAAGACTTTTTCATATATTACAGTAAAAAAGTCAGAGTGTTAATTAACATTTTATTGTATAACAATCGACATATCAAAGCTTACATCACAGTCTTGGTCAGGAAGCGGGAGCGATGGTCAGTATTCACTCTCGAATACTGACCACGGAAATTATATTTAGTTGAATACTGACCACGGAAATTATATTTAGTTTAAGAACATTTAAGTTTATGAACGTAACAAAATTTTTTTGTTGGATTTCAAAGATGAAAAAAGAAAATTATAAGATAAAATAAATATTTTTTTAAATAAAATAATTATTTTTTTAAATAAAAGAAACAATTTTTAGATAAAATAAAAATAAAATTTTTGACGGGAGAAATGTTTTTCACATTTTTAAAATACAGCAGTCAATTAAGCTATTATGTTTTTTTTGGTGCTACCCATTTATTTTTTCTGAAACTTATGTTTTTATTAGTGTTCATTCTTAGTCATCCTTAATAATAAGATCCATACTAACATGTATAATAAGCTCCATACTAATATCCAACTTAACTAATAGCCAAGTTTTATAAGTGCAATCTGTATCTTAAACATTAATGAGAATTGTTTTGTGTCAGTGCCAGAAATTGAATTCACATAATTTCATAATTCATCAAAATATTATGAATCCATTAGCAAGTATATATTTTTATCATTAAAAATTTGCCCCTCTGTCTTTAATTTTATCTGTTTTATTAGTGATTGTTGTATTTACTTTCATAAATTCTAAATATAATATGTAGTTAGTTGTATAGTTTCTTAATAATATAATTAACTTTATTGTTTCAAGATAAAGTTGTATCCTTGAAAGATATTCTGGTATTATTGGCACAATGGGCAAGCATTGAAGTGCAACTTGGTGAACTACAAAACACATCAAATTTTATTAATTTAAGTCTAAACAAAAGTTACTTTAATTATTGCCAGGTTGTGTATTTTTGCAGGTCATTTATTTGGCAAAAATTGGAGTTAAAGACGAAGGAGATTGTATGTGTTATTTACTAAGAATAGTTTTTTAAAATGGCCTAGCTGTAAAATTAAACTACGCAGGGAGAGGACAAAAAATTGGAATAGGAAAAATGTTGATTGCATATGTTGCTATTGGTAAGTGGTTTAGAAAAGTTTATTTTTTCAGTTTCAATTTAGCATTACAGAATTACTTTCAATTTGTTATGTTTCTTTGGTGCATAATTAAACAAAAAACTATTTTTTTTTGCAGAAACTGTAAAGTCAAATAAGTATGGCTTATGCAGACATGTAATAGAGATTGTGGAAGAAAAAATAATAATCGTGGGCACCAAATATCATAAGCTAAATACGATTCAATAACAAGTAGCTCAGCCAATATCGAAACTACTCTATAAATTTTATTGTGAATTTTTTTATTTAAAACTCAATGTGTCAGTTTTTGGTTTAAGTTTGGTGTTTGCAATATGTATATTTAACTGAGAAATTATGTTAAATAAATAAATTTTTATACTTGTATCATACTTTTTTTTCTCGCATTGTAGTCACAAGCTGCAGCCATTAGATCGGTCAGTTTATGGGCCACTAAAACATTATTACAATGCAGCCTGTGGTGATTGGGTTGTATCTAATCAAAATTTGATGACCATATATGATATAGCTGCAGTTGTAAGGAAAGCTTATGCACAAGCTTTTACTTTGTCTAACATTTCTGCAAGATTTGCTGTGGCAAAAATTGAACCCTTTAATCCTAACATATTTTCTGATAGTCATTTTTTGGCTTCATATGTAACAGACCGTCCATCCAGCTTGATCCAGTGTCTGTTATTGTTCACGGCCCAGCTTTTAATCAATCATTGATGTCAAGTCTGTCATTAGGTTCAGCTTGTTGTGTTTTGCCTATTCAGCCTTTATCTGATCCTGGAAGTCAACTATACAGTGTTTCTATTAATATCTCTCATCAAAAAAATTAGGCTATTCTGAAAGCTGGATCAAGAAAGTCTGTTAAAGGAGGTAAGCGTCAGCGTACCCAAATACTCACAGACACTCCTGTTCGAAATGAACTAAACAAGCTTCAGGAAATGAAAAAAAAGTCTCAGTCAAAAAAGAAAAAAACATGAAACGCTTCATGACACAGCAAAACTTGATCATGAAAGTAATGAAAAAAAACCCATTGAGCTTCAGTAAAAAATAAGATTTTTTTCATTGATTTTTTCCTCCTTTAAGAAAGATAAATTTGTAGTAAAATTAATAATAACTTTATTGATATTTATTATAGACATAGTTTTGACGACTTAAAAATAATTCTTACACATTCATGGTATAAATTTGATCTCGGATCAAGTAAACATACATAGGATCATGGGTGCATATAGGTAGGATCAAGGGAGCATACTGGTATGCACCCATGATCCTAATTGAACGTTTTTAGTTTTTGTACATTTAAATCTACTTAACATATTTTGGTAAAAAAAATTAAAAAAGGAATAAAATTTGCTATTATGTACTGTTTATTTTGTATGTTACTTTAGAGATCAAAATGAAAACATATTATCAGTAAATTGGTTTGATAGATTTTTAGGATCATGGTTGCACACTCTCCTCTAAAAACATATATATATATATATATATATATATATATATATATATATATATATATATATATATATATATATATATATATATATATATATATATATATATATATATATATATATATATATATATATATCAACCCTTGGAATTAGGAAAAATGAAGTCGTCAAATTATTGCCAACCTCAATCTTTTTGAGGTCGGCATCAGGTCGGCAAAAATTATTTGATACAAAGGCATTTAGCAGTGATGTCGACATTGCCGAATGCCGACCCTAATTCAGAGGGTTGATATATACAGTCATGGCCATAAATATGAGAATGCTGCATTTTTTTATAGTATGGCTTTTAGAACCTGAATATAACAAGCAGTTAACACCAATAACAATAAGTTTGTGCTTTAATTATAAAATATGATTAAATTATTAGTAAAAAAGCCTCTTAAAAGCGCGATTGTCTCAGAAGTCAATATTTTGTGGGCTGCCCTTTGTTGGCTATCACAGCCCTTATCCTCTTAGGCATTGAATCAACTAATTTTTAGCAATATTCCAGCATTATTTCTTGAGCCCAAACAGTCATGATCGCTTTCTTAAGGGTGTTTTTGGAACTAGGATTCTTTGTAGCAACTTTCCGCTTCATCATCATCCATAAATTTTTTATTGGATTAAGGTTTGGGCTGGAGCCAGGCCAAGGTCCTAAGACATCGATGTGTTGACCCATTAGCCACTGGCTAACTGCTCTAGTGCGGTGGCAGGGAGCTCCATCATGCTGGAAAGTGGTACAGTTGCTACTAGCCATTTGCTGAGGTAGCTTTTCTTTAAGGATATTGAGATACACTGCTCCATTAATGGTGGTGTTCTTCGGCATAAACCAGATACCATCCCGGCCTGCTCTGCTAAAGCAGCCCCAAACCATTGTAGTTGGAGCCTGTTTTACAGTAGGGACTACTTATCTGATATTGTAGCGCTGATTGACTGGTCTTCTAACATGCCTAGTGTAAGAGGCAAACTGGGAAAATGTTGATTCATCGAAAAACATGACCCTGCGCCACTGGTCAACAGTCCATGTTTCTGTAGCGATTACAAAAGGCTATTCTGTCTTTAATATTCTTGGGAGTTAGCTTTGATTTTTTTGCTGGACGGCAAGAAGAGAGGTTGCATTGCTTGGTAAGAAACCTCCTTATTGTTCTGGAACTTACTCCCACACTGGTATTGGTGGCAATGGCTGCTGATGACCATGTAGGATTTCGAACACAAGCACGCCAAATTGATCGGTCATCATTCGGTGTCGTCTTATGAGGTCATCCTGGTATAATACATGATGAAAACGTTCCTAGCTGCTCTACCCTTTTTATTGCTTTGAATACAGCTGTTTTAGAAACTCATAAGCGTTCAGCAATTTGCTTATAGCTGTATTTTTCTTGCTTAAGGATGACAATTTGTGCTTGGACCTCCTTTGAAACTTCCTAACCCCGTGGCATAGTCTAAAACATATGAAAACAGTAGCTATATTTAGCACTTTAAAGCATTAATTGGGCTATATTTATTGTTTTAAATATAACATAATGCTAAAATTGTTGCCTAAACAGTAATTATGAATAAAAAATTAGCCTCATGTAACTACATTGAATAACTCTGGTATACCACACAATAAAACAACCAGAAACTGCAATAACTTGCTAAAATTTATCTAAACTTTATAAAATGTAACAGAATAATGAATTAAAAATGCCTAACCCATGCTGTCTTCTTGATATTTGGCTGTACTGCGGTCTAGAAGCATTCAAAAACAGTCCCAGTACATTATAAGGTTTAAAAACAGCTGTAATTATTATCTCATTTTCTTTACATGATCAAGAATTATGAAACCATAGAAAATTTGTCATCGTTCTCATATTTATGGCCGTGACTGTATATATATATATATATATATATATATATATATATATATATATATATATATATATATATATATATATATATATATATATATATATTCATAAACAAGACAAATTTTCTAATTTTCAAAACCATTTTTTTTAATAAAAAACAATACATGTTTCGACTAACACTATCAGTTTAGCAATTGAATTCAGTCATTTTTTTAGTTGAATCAGATATTTTTCCCAAAAACGGCAGTTTAAAATAAGACAAAGATTCTTTGAATTTTGGTTGCGTTGGAGGATTTGAATTAATCTTGTTTAAATAGGAGTTATATATAATTGAAATGAGTCAAGATGGGTAAATGTTTCTTTGAAATACTTTAAAGAGGTTTTTAATGTCAGAGTGAAACCCAAGATTAGTACTATTAATTTTAAACGATTTTTATCGCCTTTTATCAATAAAATTTTTTATAGATTAAGCATTTGTACGACTCTGTACGAAAATGGAGCAAAACTATAAAAATTAGAGTGAAGACCAGAATAGGTTTTTTTTATGAAAAACGGTAGTCGGAACTGAAGAATTAGTTTTGTGTAGAGTTACGTCTAAAAAAGATATTTTTGAATATACTAAAAGAAATAGAGTTGTGTCTACTATTTATATATCTAAGAAAAAGATGTGCGCCATTCTCTGACTGGAAAGCAGCACAAATGTCATCAACATTTATAGTATCTTTTATAGAAAACTGGTTTTACATCATTGAAATTTTTGATCCATTTATTTTCAAAGTGACCCATGAACAAATTGGCAAGAACAGGTGCCAGTGGAGAACCCATTGCTACACCATCGATTTGATCATAAGTTTGTCCTTTAAAAAGAAAATGTGTTTGCGAAGTGGCAAATTGGAATAGTTTTTTTAAATCAGTTTTAGTAATTTTAATGTTTTTATTATAGAGCAAAATTAAATTGACTGCAATATCTATGGTAACTTGAAGCGGAACATTGGTGTATAAGCTGGTTACATCATATGATACTAAAAAATATTTGGGGAGATCGACTTGACTAATTTCTTTAACAAAGGAAAATGAATCTTTTGTACGAAATTCAGTGTTTATTAATGGAGATAATAAATCTCTAAGAAATTTGGCTAGTTGGTAGTAATAGGTTCCAATAAATGATACAATCAGGCTTGGTCGGGAAGCGGGTGCGATTGCACTCGATAACTGACCACAGAAATAATATTTAATTGCAAAAAACCGGCCAGATTTTTTAGTCGTTTTGAGAACATTTAAATTTATGTTGGTTTCCTTAATTAAGTTAATTATTTTATCGTAAATTTTAAAATATTTTGTTTTACGGACATACATGGAAACATATATAAACTCGAATGTTCTCAAACATCTTTGTGCGGAAAATAAAAAAAGAATATTTGCAAACACAAAAAACCCGCCAAATCTACGAACAACTAATGCTATTGGTTCAAAAAATACTAACCAAAAATTCTAGAGTATTCTGTCAAAATATTTAAAAAAATTGTATTATTTGAGTTTTGTTATGTTTTTCGTTGAGATTTCTAGCATAAATTGTTTTAAGAATATACTATCAAACGAACTATTATTTTAATTCTCGGAGCCACATCTACAAAGCTATAAATGTTTTAAACTAACATTATTTGTTTACAAAAATAAATGTTTTAAATTTATCTTTTTTAGCTTGTCAACGTTTTGTAAATATATTATAGGTTTTATTAGCATATTCTTATTTTTATAAAATGGATGTATTTTTTATGTAATGTTTTTTTATGAATGTGTTTTTTGAGCATTCAATTTTATGTATGTGTATTTTATTCATATGTAATCTTTTAAAGCAATTTGTGCGATTGATTTTGTAAACAAAAATACTTTCAATAATAACTGCGTTTTTAATGAAATTATTAATAATCATCAAAGTTAATACAAATAATTTTAACAACTAATCAATTTTTCTCAGTGTACCTGATAACTGATTCTTTCCCCCATAAAAGAAAAGTTTTTAAGTTCTTAGATATTGGTTTACTAACTTTACTTATTTTTGCTTCAGCCATTCTTACAAACTCGTTATACTTAAACTTAAAGTTACTTATTTCTGTTTTAAATACTAATTAAAATTATAAAGCCCACTTATTAAATATCTCCAGCATTATTGTGAAGCAGACCCGCTTCCTCCTCACATAGTAATTTAACATTTTTAGTTAATTTCTATTTAGCTAATTGAATTTCTGCAGTAACTCAATGATTTAATTATTTCATTTGTTCATCTTACTAAGAAAAATTGTTTCAAATGTGTTAAAATTTTCAAACTACGCGAAGCATAAAACAATTATTGTAAAAACTTTTTTATTTATAAATAAATCATCTAGCGTTAGTTTTATTGGTTGAATCTTGTTGGACTTCAGGGCCGGGGACTGCATTATTTTGGCAGCCTTTTTTATGTGCCACAGCGTAAAAATGAATAAAAAAATACCAAATGGTCCTCTTAACTATTTTGCAACCCCCAACATTGTGAGTCTCGAAGCTATAGCCCTTCTACTCCCCCCCCTCTACCTCCTCAATCCAGCACTGGAAATAAGACATAAGTATATAAATAAAAATTATATATACTCTTTGATAAATCGAAGAACACTTGTTTCCTAATTAAACAATCATTAATAGTATTTTGTTGCTTTATACAAAAAATATCACTTAATTTTATAAAAAAAAATTATAAAAGAGCGACGTTTCAAAAAAATTTGCTCTAATCATATTTATTAGAGTTTTAAGCTTAAAGTTTTTCGCGTCTTTTTTAACTGTCTCTCATCGGTCCAGTTAACCTTATTGCGCCTTTTAGTTTGTTTTTAAAATGTTCTCAAAACGACTAAAAAATCTGGCCGGCTTTTCGCAACTAAATATTATTTCCGTGGTCAATTATCGAGTGCGATCGCACCCGCTTTCGGACCAAGCCTGTACAATGGGTCTAAAGTTTATGGTAGTCTCAGAAGAATTTAATTTATGCATCTTGGAAGTCCATAGATACAAGCAGGATGGGATCCAGACGGATAAATTTCGTTATATATAGAATCATTAAAAAGACCTTTTGCTTTCAGTTTCCTTAAAATATTTTGAAGTTGTATTTCTCTATTTATGGTAACATCTTTCATAAGTTGTTTGAATTTTGTTTTTCATAAATAACTTTATAAATACCATTTACGTATAGTTCTTTATCTAATATGATGACACTGTTATCTTTATCAGATTTTAAAATAATAATATCGATATTACTAGTATTGTTTTTTATTAAAAAAATGATTTTAAAAATCTTAACTAAATACTTTTATTTTAAAGTTTTCAAACAAAATTATAAAGCATATGACATTAAAAATGTAACAACAACGAAAGATTCCAGCTGAATAAATAAAAAATTCAACTGAATAAATATTTGTACCGCTGTGACTGTAACAAGTATGTTGTACCACACACCAATACCTTTTTCCAACATGGCTATTGGCCTACGAAACTGTGTTATCAATTTTTTTGCATCAATACGAATCTCTATTAAATTAGTAAAAAGAGCGATCAATGGTGCCAAAGGAAAAGCAGCTATAAACATCGTTACAAAACCATACTGAAGAACTATTTAAAAAAATTATATATTAAAAAAATATTAATAACAACAATACTTTTTAGAAGTATAAAATACAACTACAAAAGAACTTCATCAGTATAAATAACATTTATTAAATAATATTTTTTTTTTTTGAATTCTGCATTTTAAGGGCTACAACATAAATTTATTGGGCATTATTATACTTTATATCTTTTTAGAATTAGAATTTCATCCAACATACTTAAACTTTGCACTGTACTTAATAAATATAATATTTTTTCTTGTGTAGATATTAACTAATATGTTTGGAAATATCATGTACAGTTAAATCATTTGTATATATATATATACAGTATTGTACAAAACTTTTGCAACCAACATTGAACAATGCTAAAAAGTGTTCCTAAATTTACTAGTCTTAAAAACAAAACAAACTATACTATCACAGCAAACAGTTCAGGAGACTGGAGTCATAGCATGCCATGACATGAGCAATCAGCTGACAGATGACAGCACACAGGCAGAATTTCGTTGACAAGTGCCATTTTGCAGCAAACAAAACAAGTGCAACTTTTTAGGTTTGTTTCATTTTCTTAAATTTGGTCCGTGTAAACGTCACAAAAGTTTTTTAATAATTAAAGGAAGCACCCAGAAGTTTCCAGAAGTTTCTAAAAGAAACACCTGGAAGTATCCAGAAGCATCCAGAAGTATCCAGAAACATTCAGAAGCATCCAGACGCATCCAGAAGCTTCCAGAAGCATCGAAAAGAAGCATCCAGAATCTTCCAGACATGTTCACACAGGTTCATTTTACTATATAAGAGACATGTAAACCGACATGTAATTCAGTCAGTAAATGGAAGTCAATCAGTCAGTATTATCAAGACAGTTTATCGAAGTGAGCTTTATCAAAGTGTTTTATCGAAGAACATCAATACAAGAAGTGAAATACAACAAGTGTTTCATTACATCAATACATTCCTCATCCAACCAAGACGTTGTGTTCCACAGAGCATTATTGTATCATCACAAGGTAAATGTACCACAGTAAGCCTTGAGAAGCGTGATTATTTATTAGTTGGCAGCAGATAACAAAGATGAAAGACCACATTCCACCACTTCTAGAGAGGATTCTATGATTGTCAGATCCGTCAAGAAAGATCCCTAGATATCACCAGTCAAGATACAAAAGCAATTAGAGCTGCCTGTTTCGGACCGAATAACGAGATGACGTACTGTTGAAGCCGGATTGTTTTCTCGATGCCCTGCAAAGAAACCGCTGATTTCACTACAGAACCAGAAGAAAAGACTTCTGTTTGCTACATCTCATATTGATTGGAATGTACAGAATTGGCTGTGTACGTCTACCGGCCGGAAAATGTCTCAATTTGCGTTACTGCCATAAGATTGTGAAGCATGGTGGAGACAATGTAACGGTCTGGGGGTGTTTTTCTGCTAACGGTCTAGGTCTATTACATCAAAATGATGAAATAATGGACCGTTTCATGTATAAAAATATCTTGAAAGATGTTATGTTACCTCATGCTGAATGGAATATGCCAATAAAATGGGTTTTTCAGCAAGACAATGATTCGAAACAGACTGCAAAAGTAGTCAAGCAGTTGCTTCAAGACAACCATCTATCGGTGATGGATTGGCCGCCTCAATCTCCGAATCTCAACCCTATCGAGAACCTATGGGAGATCGCCAACTGCAGAATTAATCGTGAAGGTGGTCATAATAAGGATCAACTGTTTGAACAAATCCAAAAGGCCTGGGCAGCGATTCCACAAAGTTTCATTGATCACCTGATCAAATCAATGCCTCGAAGATGCAAAGCTGAGATCGACAACAAAGGATTTGCCACGAAATATTGATAGTGAAATACAGCTTGGTTAACATTTTGTGGAGTTGCACTTGTTTTGTCCAGAAGGAAATCAACTTTTTTTAATACTTTTGATTAATTTATTAATTTTTGTGTACAAATAATGAACTTCGTGATGAATAAAACTTGAAGAACGTTGTCTCTAAACAGTTACTTAGTTATTTCTCTAATCTAAATAATGCGGCACTTTTATATAAAGATATTGTTGATGGTCAACAAAATGGAAACAACCAATTGCATATTTTTACAGTAATACTACTGTGTTCAACCAATTTAGCTAAGATAGTAAATAATGCTACAATTCATCTACACAAAACAGGTTTAGCTGTAAGATTTCTTGTTTGTGATCAAAGCTCAAGTAATATTAGAGCTCTCAAATTTTTAGGATTTTCATTATTAAATCGAAAAATTTCACATCCAACTACAGCAGCAAAGGTTTATATAATATTTGATCTACCACATCTTATAAAAATTGTTAGAAACAATTTAATAAATTTTAGCATGACATTTTATCTGATAGTAAAATAATATCTTGGAAGCATCTGGAAAAACTTTATAATTTGTCCGACTTGTGCCAAAGTTAACAGATTGTCATTTAGGTCAAGGATCACTATTACCCATGCGAGTAAAATTATCAACACAAATTTTTAGTAGTCAAGTTGCTACTGCTTTGACTGAGTATGCTTCTGCAAAACTATTGCCTGAAAATGTTTTGTCAACAGCGTTTTTTAATAAAAAATGGATATTGTATTCGACATCTTGAACTCTTGTAAACTAAAAGCAGATAAACTAACACGCTCGGCTTTAACTCTAAATAGTAGATTTATACAAAACCTTGAAGATTTAAGAGTTTGGATTATAGGTTGGCATTTCTTTGGTGCTCGCAGCCAAAAAAGTATATCCAGTCATTGGGATTTAGATAAACTATTTCTAATATTCTTTGTCTTGCAAACGAGTTGCTTTATGAAGATGTTTGCACAGCTCAGCTTAATCAGGACTGTTAAGAATTTTTTTTGGCATTAATATGAAGCAAACGAGGCTGAAATGATAGACCAAAAACAGTACAATTGAAATCAGCATATAAAAATGACTTAGTACTTCTTTCAATAGAACAATCTAAATCTAGCAGAATTTTTTTTTACCTGAATCAGATTTCTATGCAACAATTATCATTGATGCAATTAATAACATAGAATTTGAGAATCAAATCTCTGCAAATGAACAATTGATTTTCAAACAGCCAACTGCATTATTTAAAAAGAAACTACAACTTTATGCATTACAAAATGTTTCAACTGATTCAGTTTTGCAGTCAATTAAACAGGTTTTGAAATCAATTGCAGATGATTTGATAAAGAAAATTCAGGTCTGTCAAAAATGTGTACAAGTTCTTTCAAGTGTGACACTAACTTTTCACTACTTGTGAAAATAACTTATTTAATACTGATTATTTTTTATAAAACCTACTTCACGAAATGGAAACTGTTTTTATAATGCAAATGAAACTTTTATTAACTAAAAAAAATATTATACAACAAATTATTAAAGTATTAAAAAATGATTGCAATTTTACATTTCTTTATGATGAACATATTCAACATGCTTTTCATTTAAAACAAAGTTTAATCAGACACCATGTTTATATGAGAATATCTTATTTTATAAGGTTTTATAATCGAGGTCTGGCACCTCAAAACAAGGCATGTAAAAAAAAGTTAGCTCGCATTATCCATGCTTGATTTTATTTTAAAGATAATTTTTGAAACAAGATATTTCTTATTTAAATTTTTTTTTTCTTGGTATTATTAACTATATATTTAGCATCTAATTAAGGGGTATATATTCAAACTAATATGAAACGAATACAATGATTACATGATTTAAAACAAATTATCCAAAACATGTTAAATTTACATCAAATTTTGACTGTGCCAACATATTATTGTTAGATGATATATAAATGTTGTATAGTCATGAAATAACAATGCTTATATAACATTTACAATCATGAAATAACATTTATAATCATGAAATAACAATGCTTTATAACATTTATAATTTATATTATTCATTTAACATTAATATATATCAATTATTTCGGAACTTCTCCCATATAATAACTTAATATTAGGTCAGAACATTGCATTTTAATTTTAAAATATATTAAATAAAATATCTCAATAAAAGTGACGCCATAAATGAAGATACATCATTAAAAAGCTGATAAAATTATCTACCTTACAATATGTCTCTATATATTAATTTTCCATGTTTCACTATTTTTTGACCTAACGCTACAGTACTATAGAGTTCTCTAGAAATATTAAGTTATGAATACAGCCAATATCAGAATAATTTGGGTTGGGCTTTAAAATATTGTAAATTTGATCTGAACTAAACAATTTAAATGAATAAAATAACTCACCCACTTCTTCATACTCTTCATATAAAAAAAGTTCTGCATGCTTTTCAATCCGATAAAGTTGATAATCTTCCTCGAATATAGGCACATCCCTACCATCGGTCAAATGCTTCCAACTATTATATTTCTTTTTTAAGTAGCTGTAAAAAAAAACAAAAACTAAAAGTTCATTAAAATTTTCATTTTTCTAAATCTTTGCTAAAAGCGTTTTCCTTGTTTAAATTGTTTTTTCTTTTTAACTCTCAAATATAAATAAATTTTTTAATAACTAAAAAAAGTTAAACAAAATAATTGTATAAGCATTAAAAAATAATTCTAATTTAGAACTTAAAGCATTTTTTCATGTTAAACTCCATGGCCAAAAGCAATTTACTTATATAATGTATTTTTATATTTACAAAAATAAAAAATACATATAATTGTAATCAAGCAATGATTAACATTAAACTTATATTATGTTAATCATCGCTTGATTATTAAAGTAGTGTACTTAGTTATTGCACTTTAGTCAAAGTTATCAAAAGAATAAAATAAAATAAAGTAAAAAGAACAAAGTTCACTGAAAACAAACTTTTTGTTCAAATGAAAAATAAAAACAACAGCAGTGATTTAGCAAGAATAAAAACCTTTTTTTATACAATGTTAATGTAATAAAATCACTGGAGGAGAAAGATTATTGAGTAAACAAATAAATTATCAAGTGTAAATACTTGATTCTCATCAGGAAATGAATATAATTTTAACCTTTTTGATGGGGTTTCTAAAAACAACCGCTAAGAGTCTTATTCTTAAAATCTGCATAAAGAACCCACTCCTATGTCTAGTCTTATTATGTTTAAACATTTAAAGGACTCACTACTAAAGCCAAGTACATTATCATATAAAAAAGTAAAAAAATACTTTAAGTTAATGGGATTTTTTTATAAAGGTAATTAAAAAAAATAAGTGATGATGAAATATAATGTATTAGGCTATAGATTTGTTTAACAAAAAACTAGAGATGTCACATATATTTAGTGATTATTTGGTATTCTGCTTATTTGGCTACTTTTATTACTATTTGGTATTTGGCCGAATATTGCAGCGGTAATAGCAAATACCAAAATGCAACGAAAAAAACAACATGAAAACTAATTATGTATAACTCTTTTTTATTTAATTTTTAATTGTAAAAAATAATCGGCATATTTATACTTAAAATCTAAGATAGTAGGTTACGATAAAAACATTTTTATCATTTGATAACAGCATATGATAAAAACTTACTATGTGCACTACCACTTACTATGTAAACTAGCAGTAAATAATAATAAAACTTAAGCAAGTTCTGTTAGGATAATTTTTTGCACTTGCTGACGACAACTTTTTAGGATTTGCTGTCTAATTTAAGCAAACAAGTTTCATTTAAAAACCAATTTCATTTGCAATTGGACTTTTCTTTCCCACATCTTCATATGTATGCTTATTTTTTGGCCAAGCTAGCTGAATATTTGGTATTAGGCAAAATCACTATTTGTGACATCTCTACAAAAAACTGTAACAAAGTCTAAGATAATGAGTAAATATATATTAATGGGATAGGAATGTCTATATTCCTACCCCACCTATATAGTAACAACATCCCAAAATTTATACTTTTATTAAAAAAAAGTATATAGTGCAAATATAAAGAATTAAATAGTTAAAAAATAAATTTAAAAATGATTTGAAAATTTGTAACTTACGGCATTACAAACTCAGGTATGTTTCTTACTAACTGCTGACCACCCATTAGGACAACTAACTGGATGGATAATTCTAAAAAGCAACCTTGTTCTGAGCACCCCTCTAATCTGATATTTTCATTCATAAAATGTTTACGGTCTCCAGGCCATCCAACAAAATATGAATTTTTAAAAAAAGCAACATAAAATACAGAAGAATATGTATTGCAAAACTGAAACCAAAACATTTTCACTGTAAACGACTTCTCAAAGTCACTTTTTGTTCTAGGATTTTCCCAATCTGTTAACTTTTTTGCGAGCCATTTGTATAAATTTCGTAGTATATTAATAATTATCAAACTGATAACACTAGCTGAACATGCTACTAACAACTTAGAGTTTGAGTGAGCTAAAAGAATAAAAACAGCTCCACGATAAACAATAACTCCAACCGTAGCTGCAATAACTAAACACATAAACAACAAAACAACTGATAATTCACCACACACTTTGAATAAATACTCTTTTTTGGAAATAAATGGTTCGATTGCTTTAGTAACTGGGTTAATATGCTTATGGACAGCTGCTTCACAATACTCAGGTCTCAAAGTTTCCTCCTCATAAAAATTCATTGAGTGCCATTTGTATGATAGGATGTGCTGGCGCCTTTTCCAGTACTCTAGATAAAGCACTGACCATAGAGACATAAATACAGACAACATTGGAGTAGCATCATTATCAAAAATATGAGTTAATTGAGCATACAAACAAGTTTCATTTATATAAAAATAATTACAGTCTTTATCACATAATGGACACATGTAATATTGAGAACTGTTTTTCAAAGAACAAATATCTTTAGTCGGCTCAAACCACATTAAAGAAAGTCCTCCATATAAACAACATAATATTCCCAAAAACGAAACAGGAATTAAAAAAAGTGTATAAAAACCTAACCAATCAAAATAAAAAGCAACTTTAACACCAAAGTAGTCTT